CAATCAATTAGGCCAATTGATAATTAGGCCAATTGATATGGCTAACCTAGACCAAACCCAAACTTTGATCACTTGAACCCACATTGAACCTATGCATTAAAGATGGCCTAACTATCCCAAAGTCATTAAATTAACTCCACCTCAGCGATTGGTTAGACCCTAAGACTGAGCCAAACCCCATCTAACCACCTAAACTAAGATATGGACCAAAGGTCCCCAAAATTAAGGGATTTTATTTCCAAAAATCGCCCCAGCCCCCCCCCCCCGGCCAGGGCCGGCCGGCCTAGTCGCCGGAGAAGCTCAAAACCGAGAGCCGCCCCCATGGAACTTCACCCAAATCAAACCTAGAGGCCAGCTCAGCAAAAACAAATTGTAGAGCTCCTCTGCCCTCCACCTAAGCACCACAATGCACCCAAACATTTGCCTTGAGAGCCACCCCATAGCCATTGTTATAAAAACTCACCTCCACGGCCATGGGAGGTGTGCTAAAATTTTCTCAGAGAGAGCTTCCCAAATCACTCACAGAGCTTTTTTTAGACCTCCACAGCTCATTCCAATCACTCCATTGCCTTGATTCTCCGTGTAATCCTAATTTTGAGCTTAAAAATTAGGGCAGAAACAGGACATCCCTAAAAAATCCACCAAACTTCAATTGATTGTGCCCACACCTTCACAACAACAAGAGAATACAAAGCCCCATCAAATTACCCTCTGAAATATCCTCTACAATAGCTCTAGACCAACACCCAAAATTGGTCTTAATCAAAATCATACCTAGGCTTTACACCAAGATCAGAGGCTCAATCTCTAGCCTCCTTAGATCCCAACAAACGTGTCAATACCCTCTAATTGAAGTTTCACTTCTTAGAGCATATGTATGAAACTTCTTTCCCTCTCGAGCCTATTTGGATTCTCCATTTGATTAGGCTTAATTTAATTGCATGATTACCATGTAGATATTTTCGTCTCACTTAGATCAGTCCATAGGATCAAACCCGAAGTGATTTGATTGAGTCTAGGCCGAGATCTTAAGGTTTTAGTGTGGACGGTCACGGAATCACTCTATCGGGGACGATGAGGGGGAGTCGTTTGATCGAGCGTGTATCGA